CTCTCTTCTTGACGGCAGGAAAGGATGCTAACCAGAAAAGTTGTTGGAACTGTGGAGAGCAAGGACATATGAGGAGCCAGTGTAAGAAGAATACTACCAACAAGTCAGCCTCTGGGAGACCAGTAGTGGTTGGTGTTGAAAGAGGAGGGAGACTCAGAAGCAGGAGGTCAAGAATCCTTAATTTGAGGTTAAGAAGGTAAAATGGAACAAACCAGTTGTTGCACAATGGTGGTAATATTGTTTACCAGACACTATTAAAACAATAGAAAATGACTCCTTTTGAGGAGTGTCTGGACCTTGCAAGGTGTCAGAAATGTGGATATGTAAATTCATAGTCGAGACGATCCATGTAACTAGTGTTTTTTCTAGAGTAAACATCAAGAAATGAATTGAAGAAAAGATAAAAAGCCAAAGGGGTAATTGAAAGCTAAAACAATAAGTACAATGCAATTAAATTCCATAATCCTGAATAAAAAGAGCATGATTGTGCAGTGCTGTGTTCAATGAGGTGTTGTACACAGAAAGTTCACAAAGAGAGTACTGTGCATGGAGAATGTGTTTCCCTCATATTAGTGGAGAGGTATAGTCTAATTCTGATTGCATCCTACAAAGTGGGAGTTTTGTTCAAAGGTTTGGCACATACACAAAAAACGTTTCGGCAGTGACATGAAGTATTAGCTATCTATTCTGTGGAGTGGCAAGTAGTGTGTACTAAACTGGGTAATTTATTTCCCAGCATAAATAACATATTGTATTGTTTATGATAACATAAAAAACATATTGTATTGTTTATGATAACTATGTATTTGAGTCAGTTTTCTCAACAGCTATTTTTTAAATTTGTCTTTTCTTCATACAAACACTCACAAATCTCAACATGTTAAAAATTAACTTTGAGCAATCTTCCAACTACAGTTTAGCAAGAAAGTATAAAAAAGCAAAGTTGGGTTCTTTCATCATTCATGATGTGGACAAAGTTAGGGATATTTAATCTTTCTGCTGTACAGCACGCCAGACCCCCCTTTTTTAAAGCTTACAATTGGCAAGTTTGTTTGTTTGTATTTAAGTACAAAGGTAACATAATATGTATCTGTGCTCTACCCATTGCAGGTATCAGAATTATTTTTTTGCGTTATAAGCCCTCACACTTACTACTGAGCCACCACAGGGTTGACTTAGCAGGATAAAGGTACACTATTGGTTGATATTTATGCATCCATTTTAAAGAGAATGGAAATGAAGAGCAACTATTGAGGAATGGAATACGCTGGTCAAAGTCACTGTTTGATACTGTAGTTGAAGACATTAAGTTTTAGCCCATAGCAACAACTTTGTGAGGAAAACGGTTAAATGTTTTATAGTGCAAGACATGTTTTCTTTAAACTGTGCAAAAACAAGAACGGGAAATATTACATATTATTGATAAAACGCCAAATTAGGTGTCTAGTGTGCACAACAACTTAGCCCAATGTGTCACAATTATTCAAGCCCGTGAAAACCTAGTTCAGGAGGCCCAAAAGCAGTGTAGTGGCTGTCATCAACACCTATGAATATTTTATACTCGTGAATATTCGTGTTGTAATAAGATACAGCAAAACGTCCCTGGTACAACAATTTAGTCATTAGAGTGGCTTAATTATACACAAGAGGTAGATTTTGTGTATCATGTATCAATATTATGTAATCCCCTTTACCTGATTCATATAAAGGTTTTTGGTTGTACTTGATGACTGTAATCAAGAGTTAGTAGCCAAATTCATTAAACTGTACCACGAATATGGTTATTAAATTTCAACACCTTTTTCTTTGTATTATAACTAAGCCTACATGAAGCAGGAAAATAGAATGGTTTAAGTGCCTGGTTTATTTTCACTGATAGTTTAACAAAATTCTCACTGTCTGAAATCCTCCATGCTTATCGTATGTGCCAGACTGCATATGACTCTTTAAAATGTAAAATTAGCTTTATGCAAGGTCTTTCCACTAATGTGTTTGTATGTTATATAAAAAATCCAATTGGGAATACTTCATGAACAAAACGGATAAAGATGTAATACGGTTGTTTATAAATCATCATAATATATGTGTTCTTTATATTTTACATAACTTATATCATAAGAGAAGAGAATTATGAACCATTTGTTTAAATACCCATGTTATGATATTAATGACAAATCCTCTAGGATAGTCCCAAATTATCCACTTGGCACAGCAGGTATACCCCTGTAGAACCCATTTTCTTCAGGAGGACTATGGAGATGCTACCAAGCAGATACACGAATACTTATTACTACATTAAAAGCTTTGATACTGGACAATTTAAGATTTGAAACACATCCCTAAGATGACCTTCATTATGTATATGCTCCAAAATCCTTAGAAAAACAAATCTGCTTCTTATTCTAATTAAAGTGATCAACCATGTGATTGAGAAGAGTGGATGTGTGCCACTTAGCTAACAAATTGGGAAAGATGGCGA